GTATGTTAAGGCCATTTGTTTGATCCAAATTTTAAAATATACATTGTTTTCATTCTAATGAATGACCATTAAAAAAAAAAAAAAATTAAAACGTAACCTAGAAAGTATTTTTTTAGCCCAATTAACATAGTATGGAAGTGAGCTGGGCCAGCACTAGCCCAAACCAAGCCCTTGTCCCAATAAGGGCCGGGCCATGCCCGGATGTGGCCAAAGAGGCACTGGTGCAAGCTCCGCTCTTGCCGAAAGAGCCAATCCTGTTGTGGCCATGGTCCGAGCTCGGCCCGGACACCATAGTAGCCTAGCCCTCAAACCAAATTTTGCATCCTAGGCTCAAGGTTGTTAGGGCCGTCTTGAAAAAAGATTATAATGAGTTCCAAAGGGCGTGGTTGTTTTTTTTTAAAGATATCTTCTTAAAAGTTAAATATTTTTAAATCTTTTGGAAAATTGAATGTTTTATTCTGAATATTTAAATAAGTTTTGAGTACTGTGTTTGATAATCTATTGGACTGTTTATATATATCGGAAAGCTTTCTATGTTCTCCCTACAACATAGAAGTTCTGTCCTCCCCCTACAATATAGGCAGTTAATTTTGGTGAGATGCTTAGATTTAGGCCTTAAAAAGATTTTTTCATTTTCAATTTTTTCGGATAGCTTTATTATCATTAGATGAACGATGTTAAAAAATAAAAAAACGATTTTGAGTTTATAAACGCTAAGATATTGAAATTCACAAAATGAATGGTCTAGATTCGAGGACTCATTTTGACTATATCTAGGGTTCAAATTGAACTTTTGTTTTTTTAAGGGATTGATTATTGAGATGAAGAGAGTGTGTGTGTAAAATTTTGAGCCATATAAATACCACAACCATGGTTTCCTTGAAGTACCGTTGTATTATACTATAATACAACCGTTGTATTGGATCATTGCTTATATATATATATATGGAAAAAGCTTGGTGAGCCCACTACCTCATGGAATAGTATAAGCCCAACGGCCCAAATTGAATCTGGACCGTTCTGACGAACACGGATGTCTGGTAGTGTTTAAATTTTAAATGTTTTTTTACAAATCCAAATTACTTGAAATTTTAGTCATTCGTTCTTCTCATCAAGCCGCACCTAATAAAAATATAAAAAAAATAATTCGCAAAAAAAATTGATCAAAATATCTCCGAGGTCAATTTATTTCATATAAAATAATTTTTTAATATTTTTTAAAGATTCACCTATTTTTTATGTACACATGCTCCAAATTTCAAGTGATTTAGATTTGTAGAAAAAAATTAAAATTCAAACACTACCGGACAGCAGTGATCATCAGATTGGTCTAGATTCTATCTGAGCCGTTGGGCTCATTTTTTCTTGTGAGGTAGTGGGCTCACCCTAGCATCTTCCCAACGCGTATAGGAAAAAATGAACAGTGATTTTGCCTATCCTCATCACTGTCCAACGTTCATCGCATGGTCACGATTGCTAGTTAGTGTTTTATTTTTCATTATTTATCTACAAATCGGAATGATCTGAAATTTGGAGCGTTTGTATATCTTATTGAGGCGCATAAAAATATAAAAAAATAATTCGTAAAAAATTATTTGACCAAAATACCCCTGAAACTTTTCAGGGGTATTTTGATCAATTTATTTCATGTAAAATATTTTTTTTGATATTTTTCATAGATTCGCCTATTTTTTATAAATACATATTCTAAATTTCAGATCATTTCAATTTTTAAAAAAAAAGAAAAAATAAAAAAAATGAAATACTACCAGACAATCGTGACGGTGCGATAGAACTTTGAAAAGCGATGAGGGTCGACGAAATCGACTGTCTATTTCACCTGTCGG